AAAAAAAAAAAAAAAAAAAAAAAAAAAACTGCTGAGATTGGGATTCGAAAAAGGTCATCGGGGATTATATGCCCTCACAAACCGACGTCGCGCGCCGCCGTGAAAGCGACTTGCAGGGTCCTCGCCGTCGTTTTCCTCAGCCTCCTTCTTCCCCTTTCTGTCCTCCTCCTCGCCCGCCTCTCAATTGCCCGCTACTTACTATCAATCTCCGGCGATAAAACAACGTGGGTCCTCAATTTACTCGTTTTTCTAGTGGCATTTTCAGCTCTCGTCAACTGCTTGACCGGATCTAATCTGGCGTTGCTCATCGGCGAACGGCGTCGCATTTGCGCCGCGTGGGCTCTGCTTTTTCTGATGCAGGCTTGTCTGAGTTTGGGGATTCGGGGGACAATCGACGCTGAAATTAACAGCTCCGCGGAGGGTAATAATTGGGTTTTGCAGAAATTAACAGATCCGCCGGTTGCGGCGGATCTGGCAATGAATGGATGGGCGGCGGCGGGGGTTGCCGGGTGGTGGTTGTATTATCTGACGGCGGCGGTGGGGGTGGTCAGGGCGGTAAGAGGTTTCGTGTGGGTGCTGACGTGGTTTTTTAAATTTGTGCGAGTTGACAATAGCAATAAAAGCCCGAAATTGGGCCCGGAGGATGAAATTGCAAACATTAATGAAAGTGGTGTATATTTTTGCCAAGTTTAAAAGTGGTACATATAATTGCAATTTTCGAAAAGGTCATAGTTTTATTAGCAATTAAGCCTTTTTTTTTTAATCTTTTAATTGATTTCCAATGCAAACAAAAATACACGAAGTCTAGATGATGTGGCATGTAAAAAAATGGACTAGATGGTCCATTATGAGACATGAGTGCAGACCCAAAGTTTTTCTCATAAAGAATATTATTGTAATAAACATCTCATGATTATTTGTTTCAACTTCATTTTAAACTCAATTTAAATTTTTTTAATATAATATTAATAGTTATTTTTTTCGTATCACTTTATACCTAAGTTAAAGAATAATTGCATTGGAGTCGATATAATCTCCAACGCGTTGGTGGATTATGCTGGAGTTGTGTAAAATTTGTTCTCCAGCCTTGCACAATTTTTATGCGCCACAATACATATATCTACTGTACTGGGATAGATGTGGCGCAGTACTATTCATTTGCGCTGATGGTTTTACCTTTTTTTTCTTTTCTTTTTTGATATCAAAAATTTTTGTGTAGAGCTCAGGTTACTTTGTTTTTTTTGTTTTATATGCAATGTTTTTATGTAATGTTTTTGTATAATTTTTCATATATAAATTTATATATTATTGAAAATCGATAATTTAACTATAATTTTATTTTAAAATTATTTCTTGTAAATATTAATACTAAATTAAATAATAAATATCGACATCTGTATATATAATTTTAGTAAAAAAATAATCTTGACATCTATATATTGTTAGTAACTATGACCCTGTTGAGAATTCACTATAACTTTCTTCATCTTGTAGGAATTACTTGATTAATCTTTTAAAAAAAAATAATCTTAATATAAATAATATTGTATTTAATTGTACTTTTTTCAGTCATTTATAAATAATTTAAATAAATAAATAAATATGTTTAAGATGATATATTTCATTAAATAATATTTCTGGTATTATAATTAATTTAAAATAAATAGAATAAATGCAAATATTTATATAGAGTAAAATATAGGGCGAAGGGCTCCAAAAGTTGCAAGCAGGTAAAAAAAAAAAAAAAAGTGAAGATAATAAAAAGAAAAAGGCATTGTCAATTTGTCATCACTCAACTTCGGTCCTTCGGCGCCATTGTTGCTTGTGAAGAAACAGAGATAAATCCAAGAAAATGACGCTGAAAGTGTACGCAGATCGCATGTCCCAGCCTTCGCGCGCAGTCATCATCTTCTGCAAGTAATTCATCTCTTACTAACCTCACTCCTCCTCAGCTTCTTCGACATATAAATCCCCAATTTTCGGAAATATCGAAACTGATAAGTACCAATTTTTTTGTGGGGTTTTGTTCAGATTAAATGGGATAGATTTTGAAGAAGTGAAAATCGACCTTTCCAAGCGCCGCCAACTGACTCCTGAATTTCGAGGTGCCCAATTGCCGCAGCTCAATTTTCCTGCTGTAATTTCAACCAACGAAGATAAAAAGATTCGATTTTTACGTGATTAATTGAATCTTTTCATTTCCCTTATTTATGTTTCTTGATTTTTTTTTTTATTTTTTTTTTATTTTTATTTTTATTATTTGTTCTAGATGTAAATCCCATGGCAAAAGTGCCTGCAATTGTGGATGGAAGGTTCAAGCTTTTTGAGAGGTGATATTTGCTTGTTATAGGATTGTACAAACAAGAAAAAAAAAAATACTAGAATCCTAAGTGTCCAAATCCTAGACAATAACATATTTATGTGTTTCTTGCCTGTTGGGTTGTTAGTGTAGTTATGGCTAATGTGCAGCTATGCACCTCGATGCTATGTTAGATTGCCACTTGTTTACGGTTGTTTTGTTCGAGGGTTTAAGACCAAAAAGAAAAAAACTGATGTCTTGAATTTCTTGGAGTGTTTTGCAGCCACGCAATTCTAATATACTTGGCCTGTGTGTTCCCTGGAGTTGCTGATCATTGGTGAGTCCTGTTTTTTTTACTACTATTCCATTAGCCAACGATGTAAGTTTTCGTGCCTGAAAAATGTATCATTTAGTAGCTAGAGTTCAAATTCAAGGCATCTGATTTTTCTCCAGGTTGTGGTTTTTCCTATGGCTAGCTTGTTAATGGCTTCTGGTTCAATTCCTCTTGATGTAATTTGCTCGTTCAATAACCGACCATGTTTGTTGATTCATTTTTGTGTATAGCATTTAATTTCTTTAATTTGGTTATTTGACATAAATGTCAATTCACATAATGTTTTATGTCATACTGTACTGGAACTAAAAACCGAAGTTCTTAATATTGATGGTACGAAATGATGTCAATTTTTCCACTCGTGACTCTATGGTTCTTATTATTTCTCGAAGAATTATATGTGTACAAATATGTTCATCTTCGGCCACCTAATTCTTGGTCCTTTCAGGTATCCTGCTGACGTTTTCAAAAGAGCAAAAGTCCACTCTGTGTTGGATTGGCACCACTTGAACTTACGGCTCGGTGCCGGTATTTATGTTTTTCCTTGGGACTTCCATTTGGGATATACTCTTAATTAATTATGTGATGAGAGTAAACAAAGAAGAAGAAAAAAGATGGTGGAACAATTAAAGCATGCCAACATGCATAGCACATTTTCTTTTGTTCTTTCTTTTCCCTTTTTTTTTTTTTCTGTTTTTGTTCTTTTACCTTACAAATTGGTTCACGCAGAAAGGTACGTATTATTTGGCTTTTGCAATTCCTTCTTTATCTGTCTTCTCTGGGTAAGCTAGGATATGTTTCCAATTGCAGCTTCTTATGTACTCAATTCGACTCTTGCCCCTGCGCTCGGACTCCCTTTGAATCCACAAAAAGCAGATGAAAGTGAAAAACTCCTCTCAGCTTCTCTTATGAAGATTGAATCGGTATGGCTTAGAGGAAATGGACGTTTCTTGCTAGGAAGTTCACAACTATCCATAGCAGATCTTATTTTGGTGTGTGAGATCATGCAGCTTGAGGTAAAGAGTCGATGCTTGCTCAAACTTTTTATACTATCAATGAAGCTGTTTGTTTAGGTTACGAGCTTGACCATGTATTGTGCTTGATATGTCTTATAGTTTAAATATTGACCTCTCTAGATATGTATCAGCTTACATAACATTGTGGTTCGAGTTTCAATTTGCTGTCTTGCTTAATATGTAAAAGAGAAATTATAATTTTTACTTTTTCCCTCTCTTTTTTTATCCAATTAAAATCGTTTGGACCTGTGAAAGCCTAACAGCCCAGTTCAAGAAATTACAAGTTTTGTTGCTCAAATACATCTTTGTTTCGACTTTGTTTGAGCTTTTATAATGTTCTGTTATAATTGTTTATTAATACAGGTTGTGGATGAGAAGGATCGAGAAAGAATATTGGGTCCCCACATGAGAGTTTTGAAATGGATTGACGATACAAAGAATGCAAGCCAGCCTCACTTTGATGAAGTACATTCGGTCCTTTTCAAACTCAAAGAGAAACTCAAGAAAATGAGATCTCAAGGAGGAATCGGTCAGGCAGAGTCGAAAATGACAATTGCGCCACACTCTAAGATGTGATGAAACGCACTGGAGGAAAATAGTTCAGAAAGCTACGTATTGTTGTTGTTTGCACATTTGAATAAACGGTCTTTTCTATGGATAATTCTCAATAATATGACTCTTGATCAGAACATGAGCAGTTTTTCCTTATTCCTTAACATTTCTCCTCTTTCTGATTTGCTGTCATTATCTATTGTTCAACATTGCTTTCTCACTCAATACCTCTACTATTTAGCCCTTGTAGAAAGCACGATTTTTTCACTTGCAAATGACTGACAAATGAAAATGAAGCTTTAACAGAAATAAGATCAAAACAAGACTACACACAGATAATAGATCGTCTGTCATAGCATAAGATGACAACCCTAGAAATCCAAACAACCAATAGTAACAGAATCCAGACATCAAAGCAGAGAAAAATTTCACAAATAGTCTTATAAGGCATGAAAAGGAAGCAAAAAAAAGAGAAGAAAACATCACAATGACACTTAAGCCTCATCCTCCTCCTGATATTCATCTTCATCCTCATATTCCTCATCGGCAGTGGCATCTTGGTACTGCTGGTACTCTGCAACTAGATCATTCATGTTGCTCTCGGCCTCAGTGAACTCCATCTCATCCATGCCTTCCCCAGTGTACCAATGCAGGAAAGCCTTCCTCCTAAACATGGCAGTAAATTGCTCACTCACCCTTCTGAACATCTCCTGAATCGAAGTCGAGTTCCCGATAAAAGTCGAAGCCATCTTCAAGCCAGTGGGAGGAATATCACAGACGGTTGATTTCACATTGTTTGGAATCCACTCAACAAAGTATGACGAGTTCTTGTTCTGAACATTGATCATCTGCTCGTCAACTTCTTTAGTGCTCATTTTGCCACGGAATACAGCTGAGGCTGTCAGGTAGCGCCCATGGCGCGGATCGGCAGCACACATCATGTTCTTGGCGTCCCACATCTGTTGGGTAAGCTCGGGAACTGTCAGAGCCCGGTACTGCTGGGACCCACGGGATGTGAGAGGGGCAAACCCGACCATGAAAAAATGGAGTCGGGGGAAAGGGATAAGGTTGACCGCTAGCTTCCGGAGGTCAGAGTTGAGTTGACCAGGGAACCGGAGGCAGCAGGTCACGCCGCTCATGGTGGCAGAGATTAAGTGGTTCAAGTCCCCAACTGAACAAAACACAAACAAGAAAAAATGGCAAAGGTTACAAACAAAGTTGCTGAAAGAAAAAAAAAAAATTGATGTTTTTTTATCAAAGGGGTTTTGTCAAAACTTTTTAATACACAGAGTTAAGGATCCAAATGAACAGCAATACTTCAGACTAGATGAGAACATGAGACTTACAACTTGGGGTTGTTAGCTTGAGGGTTCGGAAACAGATATCATAGAGAGCCTCATTGTCGAGGACCATGCACTCATCAGCATTCTCAACAAGCTGGTGTACAGAGAGTGTTGCATTGTAGGGCTCCACCACAGTATCAGACACCTTAGGTGAAGGGAATACAGAGAATGTCAACATCATTCGATCTGGGTATTCTTCTCTTATCTTGGATATCAGTAAGGTTCCCATGCCAGAACCTGTGCCGCCTCCTAAAGAGTGGCAAACTTGAAATCCTGGAGAGTATACAACAGATTAATAAGTGAAACCAAGCGTAAAAAAATTCTTGATCTGGAATTTTGTTTCTAATCTATACAAACGACAGTGGCAGGCAAACTTATCACATATACTATTAGGAAATTCAAGGAAATGATGATATGCAAAGCTGCAAGGATAAGTAGTAAAATCACTATAGATGCTGCAGATGCAATGGGGCTACACAAACTTGACATTTACTTAGAAACCACGCTGATAGTAACCATGACAAGATAATTGATTTTGACATGAATTACACGATTATTTCCCCATTTCTCCCAGAGGGCACGTGTGAAGCACCAAGAATCCTCATGTAGAACCACAACACTTAAGAAGTCTACAATCAAATACGGTTCAAAGTTTACATGTTAAAACAACAGAACCTCGCTGAATCTTAGCAAAGCACCCCACACTTATGAAACATTTAGAGTGAGAGGCAAGCAGCATGCTCCAAACAAACATCCAAAAAAGAAATTAATTTAACACACACCGCGGGACTTGTTTATATGTCATAAACCACATAACCATCAATATTTTCATGCTAGTTCACAGAACTTCAGTAATTAAGCACGGATGTTCCAGCAAAAATAGCAAAACCCTAGCAACATCAAAAATAAGGGTAGAGGAGAAACTGTCATACCCTGGAGACAATCGCAGTTCTCAGCTTCCTTCCTGACGACGTCAAGCACGGAGTCGATGAGCTCGGCCCCCTCCGTATAGTGCCCCTTCGCCCAGTTGTTCCCGGCGCCGGACTGCCCAAAGACGAAGTTGTCGGGCCGGAAGATCTGACCGAAGGGCCCGGAGCGGACGCTGTCCATCGTCCCGGGCTCGAGGTCCATGAGGACGGCCCGAGGGACGAACCTGCCGCAGCTAGCCTCGTTGTAGTAGACATTCACGCGCTCAAGCTGCAGATCGGAGTCCCCATGGTAGCGGCCGGTGGAGTCGATGCCGTGCTCCGTACAGACGACCTCCCAGAACTTGGCGCCTATTTGGTTTCCGCACTGACCGCCCTGGATGTGAAGGATTTCACGCATTTTTGCAGGTGTGTGAGAGAGAGAGAGAGTGTGTGTGTGTTGCGATGGAGGGTTTTAGAGAGAGAAAGAGAGAGAGTTTTTGGGGTATACTGTGTGTGTGAAGCGAATGGCAGTGGCGAGTGAAATAGGGAAAATCTATGGGGGAGGGAAAAGGTGAAATTCTTTTGAATTTGGGTTGTGATCTGGTGTGTTGATCACAGGGTGGTGTGTTTTGGGATTGGCTACGTGGCTGCCTGTAATTGGTCAAGCTAATTTCCTGAAAATGAAAAAGGGGAAATGATAATAAGCAATAAAAAGTACAAAATGTGGAATTTTTTTAACTTAACAAATACAATAATAGCATCTCCAATTTATTTATTTATTTATTTTTTTAATTTTTATGTAATTGAAGACTTTTAAAAGACAACTAAACAAAATTAGACTCAAAATATTGTATGTTGTGTTTGGTAGACAAATAAGCTAACTTTTAACTTATTTGATTAGTTTATAAATTTTTGTATTCAAATGAATTTCGTTTGGTAAGGGTAAGACAACCTTCTTTAAAAACCTAGTGCTTACCTCATAATATTCTTTAAATAGTTTTTCAAATAAGTTCGTTGAAATTTTTATTTCAGTTAGCTTATCAGCTAATTTTACCAAAAACTTTTATCATATAGGCTAATTTTTCAACTATAATTCATAAGTTAAATTATAAGTTATAAGTTCAAAAATTACTTTAAACTAAGCTAGCTTATCAGTTTGTTTTATAAAACGTACATGTAAACACATCAATGTGCCATGCCCAATATCATGAAATCCATATATATATATATATATATATATATATATA